ATTCCATTATTTACTGACTTATAGTGATATTTTCCAAGGAATATTTTTTCTTTCAACATCAATTCCAAAAAATGAAGATTTCTATGGGAAAATGATGCAATTCAAAAAGTCTAACAAAAAAATTCTCAAAATATCGAATAATGGGTGGTACCGTTGTACGGGGGCTATACGATATCGTGGACCGTTATAGCCCATCTTCGAACTTGACCTGCCTGTAGACAAAAGACTGATCAGTGCAAAATTTTAGCTTCCTATCTTTATTCGTTTTGACTCTAGTGTGAATACATAACATACTTTGTTATGTCTTAAATGATTATTTCGATGAGTTGAGAAGGGTATAAAAATTACTCATTTGGGTTTTTTATATATGTGTCCAAAATCTTGTAGTTTTTTTTTTTCAATTAAAATTTGTCGAAATTCTCCCACTTCGTCATTATTATGAATAAAATCTCTATATTTATATGTTTTTTTTTTTTCAAATTAAAATAAAAAAAGTATAAATAGCAAAATTGTGGATTTATCTCGCATACAGAGTCATTATTCTGATTTGTTAATGTGGGTGTGTATTTTTAAGCATAATAATAACAATAATATTTTACTGTTTTTTTATTTATTTTTTTTAATTCAATACCTTAAATATGAGACCATATTGTGATCCAAACTTTGGTATATATAGTTGTTAGGAATTAATCTCCTCTATTTATTTTTATTATTAATAACTCATTGATGTTATTTTCTTACAGTGTTGTTTAGAAGGGTTATATTTTTTATAAATTTAAAAAAAAATTAAAATATTTTTTTAAAACTTTGTATATACATACATAAATAATTAATACATAAATAATTAATACATTTAATAATTAATACAATTAATTAATTTAAAATTATTTTTTTTTTGAAATTCAAAATTATTACAACTACAAATAACCCTATTTTGTGTATATATTGAAATAAATATGTATCAATATAAGTTTATATTTATACTAAAATCTATGTAGAAAGGAAGATCTTTAGTTTATTTTTTTAATATTTTATTATTTTTTTTTTATTTAAAATTTTGAGTTGTCAATTTGTTGTAAGCTAATTTAGAAGGCCAATTTCGGTTGATAGTTTACTATGGTGAAGTTATTTCGTAAAGAGAGATTTTAAATTACATCTAGGGCAGATTTGTAGTGGGGTGGGAGAGAAAAGTGACTCCTAATGAAAATTTGGTAGACTATTACGTAAAATGCTTTCTTCTAATTTCACCTTTTTTTTGCTAAGAAAAAAGTGTTTTATTAAAGCTTTTCTTTAATTTTTTTATTATAAATTTTTATGAATATATATACATGAAAAAAATCATTATGAAGATGCTATATCTGACTACAATAATATTTTGATATGACATGTCGGCTATAAAAGATTTTTATGTTAAAAAAATAATAAAATTTATTATTTTTCATTTAGATACACGTGATGTGTTTATATATTAAAATATACACAATTTCCCTATATGTTGTCTTATTTCATTCATTCAATAGAAATATTCACAATTTTGTTTATAAAAACGAACGAAAAGTCAGAATTATTAATATTTACATTCAGAGCTAAGTGAAAGAATATAAAAATAATAATAATAATAATAATAATAATAATAATAATAATAATAATAATAATAATAATAATATAATAATAATAATAATAATAATAATAATAATAATAATAATAATAATAATAATAATAATAGTAATAAAATAATAATAATAATAATAATAATAATAATAATAATAATAATAATAATAATAATAATAATACTAATAATAATAATAATAATAATAATAATAATAATAATAATAATAATAATAATAATAATAATAATAATAATAATAATATAATAATAATAATATAATAATATAATAATAATAATAATAATAATAATAATAATAATAATAATATATAATAATAATAATAATAATATATAATAATAATATAATAATAATAATAATAATAATAATAATAATAATAATAATAATCATAATATAATAATAATAATAATAATAATAATAATAATAATAATAATAATAATAATAATAATAATAATAATAATATAATAATAATAATAGTAATAATAATAATAATAATAATAATAATAATAATAATAATAATAATAATATAATAATTAAAAAAAAAAATCAAAATAATTAATTTCCAATGTATATAAAGAATGTAAAAATATAAAATAAACATAAATTCAAAATTCTTAGCATAGTTTTAGGCAAACACATTTAATGCTTGCACTGCATCTGTATTCATTCCACGAATACTTTTCAAGACTTCCAAGTGAAGATTATTATGTAACAAGTAAAAAAGCAGTAAGTTCGGCCGTACCAAACATTGAATACCCTCCACTATATGGAAGAAATTTGGAAAGTGGCCTTTTTAAATAATATTTTTTGCTCGACATTTCTAAAGCCATATAGATGCGGAATGTAAAAAAGAAATATTTATGACATGTTATTTTCTGGGCCCATCAGGATGTGGACTTTTTACGTGGACTTTGTAAAAAGATTTTTTATTTTCCCTCTCTTCATAGACTTATAATTGTGTATTTTTATAAATGGACATATATATGTGTATTTTTTCGAAATATTTTTATCATAGGCCCTTTAAATGTGGACTTCCTTTCATGGATATTTTTTCTTAAATATCCCTCTAAAGTTACAGTTACAGGTAAATATTTTTTTACGTTGTTTGTTTTGGGAAAATGTTAAATCTTTCCGAATCTTTGCTGTTTTCTCTTACAATGCTTCATTCTAGCAAAGGGGTCTCAATGGAAGAAGTATTCCCCATCAAATTCGAGTACAGGTTACGGAACGTGAGAAATCTCTAGATATAATATATCAAGAGGAAAATTAATGAAATTTTTGTATTTCGACAGAAATTATTAAATTTAGTTTAAATTTGTATATTTTCGAATTGTTGTCTCTTTTTCCATAACGCTTCGTTTTAGGCAAGTGATGTCAATGGAAGAAAGATTCCCCATAAAATTCTACTATGGGTTACAGAACATGACAAATCCCTAGATATAATATACCGGACGGAAAATAAATGAATTTCCGTAGAATTTTTTAACTTGATTTATTTTTGTATCTTTTCGAATCATTGTCCTTTTTTGCCATAACACTTCATTTTAGGCAAGCAATGTCAATGGAAGAAATATTCCCCATAAAATTTCACTATGGGTCACAGAACAAGAGAAATCTCTAGACATAAAATATCGGAAGGAAGATAAATGGAATTTTGTATTTCGGTAGAAATTGTTTATGGGGTTTGTTTGGACTAATTTTGCATAATTTCGATTATTTGAAATTTTCTCGAACAAGGCTTCATTTTAGGCCAGTGATCTCAATGAGAGAAAGATTCCCCATTAAATTTCATGGGGGGGGTCACGGGACTAGAGAAATCTCTACAAGCAACCCATATCAAAAAATAGACCTGTTGGATGTACATCTACAAAAATAAGAAGACATTTTATGTATCGATAGAAACGATGTATTTTTCTCTATGCGTTGTTTTTGTGGTTTTTTGAGTCGATGCCATTTTCAGCCAAAATTTTAGGTTTTAGACAAATTATGTCAATGGAAAAGTTATGCCCCATTAAATTTCACTATAGGTCCCCGAACAAGAGAAATCTCTACATACAACCCATACCAAAAAATAGATCTGTTTTAAATTTGGTTTATCAAATATATCCTCAAAATTGTTTATCGTATTCATTTGCGCAAAATTCTTGCACTTTCAAATCTATGCCTTTTCTCCCTTAAAGCTTCACTTTAGGAGAGTGGTGTCAATGGAAAAAATATTCCTCATGAAATGGTACTATAAGTCACAGAAGAACAGATATATGTAGATCTGATATATATGGAGAAAAATAAGCAGAAATTGAGTGTGTGGACAGAAACGATGTATTTTTATTTTATAGATTGTTTTCATTGTTTTTTGAGTCGATGCCATTATCAACCACAATTTTCGGTTTTAGACAAATCATGTCAATGGAAAAAGTATTCGTCATCAAATTCTACTATAGGTCACCGAACAAGAGAAGTCTCTACATACAACCCATATCAAAAAATATACCTATTACAAAGTTGGTATATCGAATATATCCTCAAAGTTTTTTATTGAGTTCAAATGCTCAAATTTCGTATAAGTTCAAATCTATGCCTTTTCTCCTTTAATGCTTCACTTTAGGCGAGTGGTGTCAATGGAAAAAATATTCCTATATTCCTCAGCCAATTTTACTATAAGTCACAGAACAACAGAATTTAGGAGATTGGATGCATCGACAGAAACTTTATATTTTTCTTCCATAGGTTGTTCTCATGTCTTTTTGAATCGATGCCATTTTCAACCACATTCTCGGGTTATAGACAAATTATGTCAATGGAAAAAGTACTCGCCATTAAATTTCACTATAGGTCACCGAACAAGAGAAATCTCCACATACAAGCCATATCAAAAGGACACCTGTTTTAAATTTTGGGGTCCAAGATGTTTGCCTCAGTGACAAAAAAAACACAAAGTCTGTTTGTATTTTTCATTACATCTCCAAAAATTTCGACCATAGATCAATTGTTCCGAACATATGAAACTGGAGGCTTCTTATATTTTTCGAATTAACCCAATCAAATACGATGCCAAATATAATCATCATCATGATGGCAAAAATCTTGAAACGTTTACAATTTTCGCAATCTAGTACAATTATACAAAAAGTGTAGCATACTTTAAGGCGTAAAATTCTTTGAGCGCAACAGTGGGTAACAAAATATTTTAGAATAAAATAAAGAAAATTGATATTAAAATAACTTTAAAAACAACAAAAAAAAAGAGAAAAAATATTACAGAAAATTGATATCAAAAAATAAAATAAAAAAAAAATAAAATAAAAAATGAAATTTTATTAATTGAAAAAATTGCAATTTTAATAAAAAATAAATAAATAAAAAAACAAATATATCTATTTTGAAATTTTTCGATATTTTTATTGGTAAATCATTTTAATCACTTAGCTCTCTATATTTTATATAACATAAATACTGGTTTGAAAATAAGCATTTTTTTACAACATGATCTTTTGTTTTTTATACGACTGATTTTAAATAATATATATAAAATAATTAACGGAGAATTAAAATGGATGTTAACAAAAAACAAAAAAAAAAAAAAAAATTTAGGGGGGAAAATAAATGTACAAAAGTTGGGATTAAATGGAAAAACATTTTTTTAAGGAAATTTACAAAAATTACAAGGGAAATTAAAAAAAAAAAAAACAATATTATACATGATTGTGGAAGTGTAATTATACCCTTTTGGGCCAATAGATGGCATTGTTTTATTAAATATTTTATATTCCATATCCTCTTTTTATTCTTACAAACCTAGTCCTTGATTCCATAAAAGCTTAGATATTGCAGGATAGGGAATTTCGGGGTCCGGGGGGAATTTCATTGGGTTAAAAAAAATCCCAGAATAGTTTAAGGTTATGTTTCTGTAATTTTGGTTTTTTTATGAATATATTTTTGTTGTCGTTTTTAAAAATTTAACTAAGCTACTTGATTTTGTGGGTGTACGTGTGTGTTCTTTGATTTGTTACTATTTTGTTGTTTAATATTAAAATTTTGTTTTTTTTTTATTTTATTTTAATTAAATTTAATTTTGGTTTTTTCCTTCTTTCAATTTTAAATTTTTTTGGATTTGATTTATTTTTTGAAAGTATTTTGTGTTTTTGATTTTTTGTCTTTTTTTCTTGTTTGTATATTGCCGTAATTACTACATGCGGATTGATGTAGTAAAATTTGGTTATAAAAAGTATTGCTATCTTTAAGAGGGGGTATGGCGGTCGAAGGTAGGGGAGTTTGAAATTTTCTTTATCATTTCATGAAAAATTTACTTTTCTTTCGTTTGAAAAAGAATCAAACATCCGTTTCCGTTGAATTCGATAACTGGGTTGATAAAATAATGGGATTTGATTGTTGCTGCTGCAGCTGCTGCTGAGAGCCACCACTGGCGGCCTCACTTTCCGTTAGAGTATTCACTGCCAAATTACTACTACTATTGCTGGTTACACTAACATTATCGGGTGTATTCGGTGCCAGGGCCTGGCGACTGGGCGATGTGTGCTGCGATTGGGGACTGGTGGGTGTGGGCGTTGCTGGAATCTGATGCCAATTTATGCTATTCTGTGAGGTTAATTTACGTGTCTTCTCTAAGGGTGGATATTTAATGGAATTGGAAAAGGCCATGCCACGTCTCAGTGGTACCCTGTTAAAATTTGTTTTTTTTTTTGGGAGGAGAAAATTTGAGAAAAAAAATTAGATTAATTAAAAAATTAATAAATTTATAATTTTTATACAAATTTATATATATTTTACAGTTTGTGTATTGTGTCCGGTAGTTAGAGTATTGAAAAATAATTGTTAATAACAAATGGGATTTTTTTTTTGAAGAATGGAAAATTTTAAAATAAATTTTAGGAATTAGTAAATTTTTATATAAATATATATATTTATAGAGATGGAGAGAGAGAGAGGGGGGAGACATACACACATTCCTGGAACAAGTAAGTGAAAGAGAGTGATGGAATGGAAGGGAAACATAGATGAAGAAATGGGACGATTCAACACCCATATCAGTCTAATTGTTTAGATAAGGTCATGTCAAGATTACCTCATTGCGAGGGTTAAAATTCAAACCTGTTGTTGTATATTATCTTGGGTCGAAAATAACATATTGGAGTTCTTTAGAGTTGTATTTCCGCGCCGGAACCTCAAGCCAAGGAGAGATCATTATTTTAACATAGAAAAAAATTTGAGAGATTTTTTGCATTTGATTCGGTTTGACTTCCCCAAGCCAAAGACCAGAATTTTTGTAATAAAATCTAAAACGACAATATCCGAGGTAGAACCGATTTATCTTTGTAATCCAACATAAATTTTACAACGATTTGAGAGGTTATGAGAAAAGAAATACATTTTTCATGACAAAAACTTCATAACATTTTGTGAAGAACTCACGTGGACTTCCCACAGCTTTTGGCTGATAATTGTGGAGGAATCGGACCAATTTTTTTTTCAAAATAGTTAAAAGGGATCGGTCATGTAGATCCTGAAGAAATTTGGAGTCGATTTGAGTGAATATAAGTGGAGAAAGACACAAATTTCCTAGGGACCATCGTTGGATCCTACGAACCAATTTTTCCAATATTTTTTGAAGAAATCTTAGTTGTTTTTTACAGAACGTAGAGGATTTTTCGAATTGTTTTCAGACAAACCTACAATGGAATAGTAAAATTCGATCTCTAAAAGAAATTTTAAAACGATTTGAACAAATATGAGGATAGAAAAATACTTTTCATGACAAAAACTTAATAATATTTTGTAAAGAACTCACGTGGACTTCCCACAGCTCGTGGCTGATATTTATGGTGGAATTTTGCCGACTTTCTTTCAAAATAGTAAACAGGGATTGGTCGTTTAGATCCTGAAGACATTTGGAAACATTTTGAGCAAAGGAAAGGGGAGAAAGACACAAATTTCCTATGGACCATCGTTGGATCCTACGAAAGAGTTTTTCCACTATTTTTTGAAGAAATCTCTGTTGTTTCCTGCAGATCGTAGCTGATATTTGGGCTTGTTTCGAGTCAAACTTTTAATGTAATAGTAAAATTCGATCTATCGTTGTATTCCAAAGGAAATTTTAAAACGATTTGAAGGAATATGTGGATAGAAATAAATTTTTCATGATAAAAACTTAATAATATTTTCTGAAGAATTCAAGTGGGCTTCCCACAGCTCGTGGCTGATATTAGTGGTGGAATTGGTTCGACTTTCTTTTAGAATATTAAAAAGGGACTGGTTATTTAAGTCCTAAAGAAATTTGGAGTCGATCTGAGCGGATATAAGGGAAGAAAGGCACAAAATTGACAGGGTCTATAATTGGATCCAGTTTTAAAATTTATTTCAAATTTTTCCATTTCTTTCTAAAGAAGTTTTGTTAAAAGTACTTGGCATTGTTTTTAACAGAATATTGGACCTAATTTTCATTAGGAATATTTGAAAGCCATTTGACAAAAATTTTGATTCCAGTTGAGTATAAAGTACCGTCTTTCGAGATCTTATCTGAACTCCAAAATCTTAAAAATTTCAATCAAGTTCCTTCGACTTCCCAGAGATTATTTTCGGTAGTTGAGGGATAAATTTTGGATATTTTTTCGCAGATTAGTGCAGCCAATATTATCAGGGCCTATTTGGAAAAAAATTCAATAAGATTCGAGAGGAAATGGACACAGAAATCTTTTGAAGTGTAAGTAACCATTGGTGAATCGCACTTCCAATTTTTTTTTCGAGAAAAAATAGAAGGGAAGAGTTGAAATTTTTGTTGGAATTTTTTAAAGGTCCTGTGGCAAGAAACCTGACGGAAGTCTGATCCTAGAAAATTGTTTTGAAAATATTTATGGAAAATTTATTAGGGAAGCTGACAAACTATCAGCATTCGAATAAAGTGTGATTCCAGGACCCATTCCACTGAAAATTACAAGAAATTTAAATTCCAGCTGAATATTAACTACCGTCTTTCGAGCCTTACTTAAATTTAAATATTTCAATCTACCCCTTCGACTTTCCAGGGAACATTTTCGGTAGTTGAGCTCTAAATCAAGGATATTTTTCGCAGATTAGTGCAGTCAATATTGCGGAGGCCTATCTGGAAAAAATCTAATACGATTCGAGAGGAAATGGGAATTGAAATATTTTGAAATGTAAGTGACCAATTTTGAATTGCGTTTTCAAATATTTTTTCAAGAAAAAGTAGAAGAGAATAGTTGCCATTATTGTTGGAATTTTGTAAAGATCCTGTGGCAAGCAACCTGACAGAAATCAGATCCAAGAAAATAGTTTTAAAAATATTTATAGAAAATTTATTAGGGAAGCTGACAAACAATCGGTATTCGAATAAAGTGTGATTCCAGGACCCATTCAACTGAAAATTACAAGAAATTTAAATTCCAGCTGAGTATTAACTACCGTTTTTCGAACACCTTTCTGAACTCGAAAACTTAAATATTTCAATCTAAGAAGATTATTACAGAAAATTTGTTAGGGAAGCTGAGAAAATAATCGATATCTGAATAGAGTGTGTCTCCAGGACCCATCCAACAGAAAATTCCATTCAAAAACTTTAACCCGGTGTATCATGTGTGTTGGCCATTATTGTGTGGGAACTTGAAAAGTAGGTTGGTTGGTTGGGTTGGGGAAGTAACATAAACTTACCTCGTTGGACTTGGTGGTGGATACGAAATACCCCGATGACTAGGTGACAATAGTAAATTACCCGATTGTGTGCTGCTTGTATTGGCTGCACCCGGTACCAATAGGGTATTATTACTATAAGTATGGTAAAGATTACTAATGGAGACCAGGTTCAAATGCACATCATCATCATCATCATTAGAGAACACACAGATATACACACACAGGTACGCACAAAGACATTGATTCAGTGATGTTGGCATACATCAAAGATAAAACCAAAATTTTTGTTTTGCATTTTAAAAAAAAGCCAATTAAAATTTGTGGCGTGAATTTGATCAAAAAAAGAAAAGAAGAAAACAAAGGAAGACGAAAAAAACAAATCAGGAAATTAAAAAAATTGTTGTATTTTTCATTACGTGTTGTTTTTGTATATGCTATAAAGGATAACGGCAGGGGCATGACAAATATGATGACGAAGATGAAAATGCTGGGGATGATATTGCAAACGATGAAGATGTCTGGGTTATTTAATGAGTTCCTAGCTCTGCTGGACACTACTGAGCAAAATTGTGTTACAACATAGAGAAAGGAAACAAAAATAAACGTAAATTGTATTTTTTCTATAAAAGCTAATTTGTTGCTAGTTTTCTAATATTTTCTAATAACATATTTTCTAATAACAGGCCGGCCGATCGGCAGGGGCTACTTACGTATGGCTGTGATGTAAATTTAAATCGGGCAAACTTTGTCCCAAATGATTTAGCGGCTGGACTGTCAAGGTGTTGGAAGAACTGGTGTTCACTTTTAGTTTCTGTGGACTAATGGTGGTTACCGGTTTGCCCTTCAAAGGAAAACCATGGGCCCCTGGAAAAAATGTCCGCCAAAAAAACGGAAATCAATCAATTTTTGTTCTCAATAAAAAATTTCTCAGCTACTTACCCAAATATGCACAACCCTCATCACTGGACAGAGAATTTGTCTTGTCAAACTCCACGGATATGTTACGCGAATCATTCCACTCCACCGAACCACTATGGCTGTTATTGGCACTTGTCACATGACTACAAATGGATGAGTTCAGCGGCGATTTCTTGACACCCAAACTATCAACAGTGCCAGCACTGATCATACTGCCGCCAAAACGCATTGCCTCCCAATTGGTGGCCGTCGAAATGCTACTCTGCTTCATGCGCGTATATATCGTGCGTGCCCTTTTCAGGGCCTCATACCATTTCTGGGCCTCGGAGCATTGCAGTGTAAACGCGTTCACGGCCACTTGGAATTCGTTTACATAAACACAACTTAAAATATTATTGGAATGTTGGACAATGAGTCTATCGGTTAGATAGGGTTGTCGTATCACCTTCAAGGTGCCCAGACCTTTTTTCGCTATCGATTTGCAAACCAACAGCATATCGGTGAGTAGAAAACAATGCACATCGGCCTTGCCGAGATTGTCTTTGTATTTGTGATCGCCCTCCATGAAGAGATGGCGTACATGCTGAGAGGCACAGCCTTTCATGGGTGCACACAGATCGAACATTTGGCTATGTTGTTTGATCATTTTCTCCAAATGTTCGTTGTTGGTGTCCTGCGGGGAGCGGGATGGAGAGAAGCGTTAAAAAAATTGTAAATTGTATTAAAAATTCTCCCTGAACTTACCACCACATCGTATGACTCAATGCGAGCCATGACTCCTTTTAAGCGTTCATTTTCTTGTCTGGTCGTTAAATGGTTGTTAACACTACATACAAAATGTTCGGTGGTTTGGATCTGAAAAAAAAAAACAATAAAAAATGGAAATTAAGTAAAATATATCATACAAAATCCCATTAAAAAATATTATTCAACTCTGCAATTTGGGTAAATATTTTGAATCCATTTCCAAATTCACAGGAATCGATAATAGTCATCGAAAGATTGGGAAATTCGAAAGACTATATTCTGCTCAAAGGCAAACAATTTCGTATAGATAATGCCTATGTGAAGACGAATTCGTCGAGGTGTATTTCGAGGAATTTGGAGACGATTTGCTGGAGCAGCATCCATGTGCCACTGACCATCGTTGAATCCCAAGAACAATTTTTTTAAGAAATGTTTTTTTCGCAAAGTTCCTACGAACTTTCACCATTTAGTTGGTATATTTTTCGCAATTTCTGATCATTTCTTTACCGAGGACAATATTCAGACTTCTGGAAAATATCTTATGGAGTTTGGAACCGATTCAAACGAATATAGGTACCGAAAATAGCCAATCTGTCAATGAACATTGTTGCATTCATTGAATCTTAATACTTGGACTTTCTCTTACTGGGATCCGGTATTTTAGGGTAAATTCAAAATAATTCCTTTTCAGAATAGTGAAGGCGGATTCGTCAAAGTGTTACAGAAGAAATTTGGTTTCGATTAGAGTGGCTACTGGTGGAAAAAATAGCCATATGTCAGTGACAACCGTTAAATCCTAAAAATCATTTTTATGATATTCCGGAGAAAATTCTCATGGACATTTCGTAGCTAATATTTTGTGCAAAATTATATATATTTCTAACAGAATACTCAACAAGGATTCTTCGGGGAAAGCTAGATGAAATTTTGAAAAGATTTGAATAGATATGGGCATAGGAAATGTCAATCTATCAATGATTACTCTTGAATTCTTTGAAACTCAATTCTCGGATCTCCCCTGACTTAGATCCGGCATTTGGAGGCAAAATCTAGATTTTTCCTTTTCAGAATTGGGAAGAGGGATTCGTCAAGGTATATCTGAATAATTTTTGATACGATTTGTGAGACTATTGAGATAAGAAACTAGTAATATGAGAGTAACAGCCGCAGAATCCAAAAAAATCTGTTTTTATGGCATTTGGTGGAAATTTTTCCCACAACTCAGAGCTAATATTTTTGACAAAAAAGGCAATTCTTTTATGAAATACCTAATAGAGAGTTTCTGAGGAAAGCCTGCTGATATTTCGAAAAGGTTTAGAAGGATGTGGGCAAAGAAAAGTGTCAATCTATCAATGAGCACTCTTTAATCAACTGAAATTCAATTCTCGGATCTCCCCTGACTTAGATCCGGCATTTGGAGGCAAAATCTAGATTTATCCTTTTCAGAATTTGGAAGAGGGATTCTTCGAGGTGTATCTGAAGAAATTTTGATACCATTTGTGCCACTTTTGAGAAAAATATAACTAGAAATATGTGATAGCCGTTGAATCCAAAAAATCATTTTTTATGATATTCGGCGTAATTTTTTCAAGGAGTTCACACAACTCAAAGCTAACATTTTTGACAAAATAATACATTTTTTTACGGATTACCTAATAGAGATTCTTCGAGGAAAGCTGGATTAAATTTTGAGAGATTTGAATAGATATGGCCATAGGAAAGTGTCAATTTATCAATGCGCAATCTTGAATTCTCTGAAACGCAATACTAGGATGTCCACTGGCTTAGATCCGGCATTTGGGGGTAAAATCTAGATTAATACTTTATAGTATTGGGAAGAGACATTCGTCGAGGTGTATCTGAAGAAATTTGAAAACGATTCGTGAGACTATTGAGACATAAAACTAGCAATACGTTGGTGACAGCCGTTGAATCCAAAAAATAATTTTTTTATGATATTCGGTGTAATTTTTTCAAGGAGTTCCCACAACTCAAAGGTAATATTTTTGACAAAATGAGACATTTTTTGCAGAATATTAAACAGGGAGTTTTTGGGGAAAGCTAGATGAAATTTTGAAAATATTTGAATAGATATTGGCATAGAAAAATGTCAATATATCAATGAACAACTGAAACTCAATTTTCGGATTTCCCCGGGCTTAGATCCGGCATTGAGAGGCAAAATCTAGATTAATACTTTACAGAATTGGGAAGGGGGATTCGTCGAGGTGTATCTGAAGAAATTTGGATACGATTTGTGCCACTATTGAGAAAAAAACTAGAAATACGTCGGTAACAGCCGTTGAATCCCAAAAATCGTTTTTAATGACATTCGGTGGACATTTTTCATTGACTTCTTACAACTTAAAGCTAACATTTTTGACAAAGCAGGACAATTTTTTTACGGAATACTTAATAGAGAGTCTTCGAGGAAAGCTAGATAAAATTTTGAGAGATTTGAATAGATATGGTAATAGAAAAGTGTCAATCTATCAATGCGCAATCCTGAATACACTGAAACGCAGTACTCGGATCTCTCCTAGCTTAGATCCGGCATACAGAGGTAAAATATAGATTAATCCTTTACAGATTTGGGAAGAGAGATTCGTCGAGGTGTATCTGAAGAAATTTGGATGTGATTTGTGCCACAATTGAGACGAAAAAAACTGGAAATACGTCGGTGACAACCATTGAATCCCAATATCTAATTTTCCTCGAGCATGTTTTTCATTCTCACTGCTAGTATTTGGGACAAAATAAAGGCTACTTCTTTGCACGGAAGTGAAGTAGCTATCTTCGAGAACAACTCAAGAACTTATCCAAAGATTTGAACGGATACTCTACCAGGAGATCTGTAATAAGCCACGAACAACAATTGAATCCGGTAAATCGCAATCCATTTGGAATAATTACAGCTATTCTTTGGCATTTGGGACAAAATCAGGACTACTTTTTTACAGAATAGGGAAGAATGATTCATCGAGGAATATCAGAAGAGATTTGGTTGGAATTTGAAAGGATTCAGGTGCTGAGAAATTTAATATCAATTCAGTCCTTAGAATTAATCCTGTGTAGTTTTGCTGCGACCTTTCCAAGGTTTGTTTTTGATATAAGGAGCAATTTTGATTCGGTTTCCTTATGGACTAATGAAAATGAATGCCTCGTGGTATATGTGAAGAAATTTGGGAGGGATAGGAGGGGATATGGGTATAGAAAACGATCAAGATCACATCGATTATTGTTGGATCCAATTGTTTGGCTTTTAAAGAAGAGTTGAAAAATGAAGTTCTTTTTACTGGGCGCTCAATCTAGTTTAGCTCTTTTGATGGGAATTGCTTGGGACGTGACTAGTTCATAGTTCACCATCTAGTTCAATCCTTCGGCTCAGAATTGTTTACTTTTTTCCCATCTCTCTCTCTTTCCTCTCTTTTAGACTTACCATCGTTTCTAAAGCCTCAATTTCTTCGATGTCTGTCATATGTTTCTTTATAGCCGTCAGCAGCAAGCTGTACTTTGTCAAACGTTGCATGGGGCGCACCAAGATATCGGCCAGCCTCAAGCGATTACACATTTTCTGGGCCTCACACCATGCCAGATACGAGGTAAACAGCGAATTTGTACGATTCAATTCTTTGCAATAGAATTGACAGGTACTCTGTTCCGCACAGTACTTCTTATAGGGGGCGAACAGATTTGCAAAGGCAATAAAACCCGGCTGGAAGAAACCTATGCGTAGCGGTTCACGGGTTTGAATGCTATGCGCCACCATGGGATACAAATAGAGAGTCCAAAATTTTAGATTAGCCTCACAGATATCGCGAATATTGGCAAACAGACGATGTTGATCGACCTCCTTGAGCAGGCCCTCCTCCTGCACCGATTCCAGGCAGGCCAAGAAGAGCTGTAAGTAAAGAAGAGTTTTTTGTTTTAAGGGAATATTTTTTCATTTTCTAAGGGTCCCACTTACATCTGTCACCGTTTGCAGACAGTGTATGTAGTCCACCTCCGTGGTCACCAATTCCCAGATGGCAGTCTGTATTCTCATCTCAACATCATTCATGCTACTGCATTCCACAAAATCTGTCCAGGATTTGTGCATTTTATCCAAATACTCTATGGCATTATCCAGATCAGGATGATCGAAATTCAAGGTGGCAGGCGTTCTCTGGGGTACCCCATTTTTCGAATAGCTATTTAGCAATTCACATAATTGACTTTGTTGGGGATTTTTGACACCGAACAGGCCGGACCAACGCTGTTTGGGCTGTTTGCCGGTTATATTGACTTCCGAAGACTCATCTGTGGAGGCAGATGACAAAAGGCGGGGTGGACGGGCTCGGGAACCCTAAAGAGGGAAATTGAAAAAAAAAAAACAAAATATAAAACTGGATTTTTTTGTTGGAGCACAAAACCTACAAATGATGCTGCTTTCTGTAGGGTTTTCTTTGAACTGTCCTTGTCACTGACAAACAAATGATGGCCTGCCAAATTTTCCACTTCCGTATTTTCATCCAGTGAAATTTGTAGCGGTGAAGATCCTGAAAGTATATTTGCTTTTATTAATTTTCCAATATTTTTTTGAAGACCCAGAACTCACCTGCTCCCAAAAATGCTGAGGTCTGATTATTGTCATAACTGTCGGTTATTGTTAATTGGCTAAAACTTAAATTACGTTTTCTTAAAGCTTGACTTAAAGCGTTGCTAAAAATAGAAAAATTATTGAGGATTGAGATCAAAATCAAAGACTCGAAACTTACGCCAGAGTAACTCCTTTGGCGGCAGGGAAAAACTCATCTTGACAGCCGGATTCATTGCAAAAACTAACCAAAAAGTATTCTGAACTAGAAACCTGAAAGGCAAAGAAATAAAATTGTAACATCAAGGATTTATTGGAAAAAATTAAATAAAAAATTAACTGAAAAAAAAAATTAAAAATTAAAATTAAAAAATTTTAAAAGTAAGAAAATTAGGCCCTTTTTAGGGCCTTAATTTAATACTAAATTGTGGTATTCAATTTATATTTCAATGGATTTGAACATGGTTATCTTGAAATCATTTAACCTTTTAAATGAAGCAAATCGATGAAAAATAATGAAAATTAGAAGCAAATCATTTAATATCGAACAAAATAACCTCTATTAATAATAATCATACGCTACAGGGTCCCACAGGGAAATATAATTATTATTTATCATACGTTACGGAGTCCAATAAAGAATTATTTTCAAAATATCTTACAATGATGATGAATGAAAACTAGGAATGAAGAAAAAAATTAGGTCACATTTTAAAGATTCCAAAATTCGGGGCAAATTTCCGTATTATTTTGAAATTCTCTAAATATTAAAAAACATTTTTAATATTTTTAGGAGTATGGATATAAAACGTCAATATTTTTGAAATAAATTACATCAAATGAGTCTATATTGGTTTGGAAGAGCTTGAGAAGCTTTAGTCGAACTCTCGAAACCTTTTGAAAATTATTGTGGATTTGCCGATAGAATTACAAACTGGCCGGTCATCTTGGCTGATTAATAATTTAAATTGATGTCTTAAAGACCTCCTGATATAATTATTTTCACGAAAGTGATTATTTGAGGAACATCATGAGAACCCTGCTTCAATATCAAGCATTGAATCCGATAATCACCTTTAGAAAAATATATAATCCAAACTATGTCCATTTCTCCCTCTAGGATTGGATTTCGGAGGTTGGTATCAAAGAGGAACGTATTCTACATTGAATTCCACTATAAGTCCCCGAACAAAACAAATCGCTAAATATGAGATTTATCGATTAAATATCAGTTCCAAATTTCGGACATTTTCATTGATTATTGATCAAGTTTGCTTTGCTAAAATTAGGGCATTTCGTCCCTCTCCGAGTCATTTTAGAGAGTTCCTCTTAAAGAGTGAAATATTCTACATCGAATTTCACTATGAGTCACTGAACAAAAGAAATCGATAGATATAATATTTATCGATAAAATATCGAAATCAATTTGAGGTTAATAAAATAATTTTATGGATTTTTGTTCCCGATTTCGCCTTCTTTGATTTATGTCAAGAGAGTCATTTTAGAGAGTAACTGTGAAAGAGAGAAAAATTCTCCATCAAATTTCACTTTGGGATTTCAAGCAAAATATATCGATAGGTATGCAATTTATCGATAAATAATCACTATCAATTTGGTTATTATGACAATATTAGTTAATTTTTTTTGGTGATTTTACTCTATGAGTGGACTTAGAAGCTTGGTATCAAAGAGAAAAATATTTTATATCGAATTTCGCTATGAGTCATTGAAGAAAAGAAATCGATAGATATAATATTTATCGGCGTTATATCACTACAATTTTTTAATAAATTAAGAATTTTTTATTGATTCTTCGATCAAATTTACTTCCTTCAAAAAATGGCAAATCGACCCTCTTTTAGTCATTTTAGAGATGTGCTTTCAAAGAGAAAAAATTTCCTCATCCAATTTCATTATGACTTCCTGAATAAAAGAAATTCATAGCTATGATATATATTACATACATTCCTGTTCGAATATGGGGTTGTGAGTAAAAATATGATTTTTGGCCAAAATTTGTAATATTCTGAATATGGGTCGTTTTCCTTACTAATACTTCATCCTAGGCATTTCGTGTCAATGGGAAAAATTTACTCCACCCAATTTTACTATAGGTCTCAGAACAAGAAATTTCGGTATATATAACGCATAGCGGTAAAATTTCCCTTCAAACTTGACTTTGTAGACAAATCAGTCGGATTTGCATTAATTTCATATCTATTGGCAACTTTGGATGATTTTTTCAGTAATGCTTAATCCTAGGCTTTTGATCCTAATGGATAATTTATTCGTCACAAAATGTAACTATAAGTCACTGAACAAGACAATTTGGTAAATATAATACATATCGGATTATCCACCTTTAAGTGTGAGCTTGTAAGCAAAACTGTAGATTTTGTTATCATTTAATACTTTTTCAAAATTTTCAACGATTTTTCAATAATGCACCATCCTACGTTTTTGGTGTCAATGGAGAAATTATTCTACACCAAATTACGCTATGGGCCACCGAATAAGAAAATTCGGTAAAATCAATACATAATGGTGAATTTCCGTATCAAATTTGGGTTCGAAGGCAACAATGTAGCGTTTGTTCCATTTTCATAAGCATTCTTAAAATTGGCCGATTTCTTCGATAGTACTTCATTCTAGGCTTTTGGTATCAAAGGAAGAAATATTCCTCATCAAATTTCACTATAGGTTACCAAATAAGAAAATTCGGTAAATATAATACGTATCGATTTATCCACCATGAAAATTGAGCTTGTAAGCAAAACTGTAGACTTTGCCATAATTTCATACATATTCATAATTTTTGAGGATTTCTTCAAGAATACTTCATTCGAGGCTTTTGGTGTGGATGGAAAAATTATTCTAGATACAATATCACTATGAATCTCAGAACACGAAAATTTGATAAAAATAGTACAAAGCGGTGAATTTATCCTTTACATTTGGGTTACTACGCTAAAATGTAAATTTTGCCATAATATCACACGCATTTCCAACATTGACCGATTTCAACAATAGGACTTCACCCTAGGCCTTTGGTGTCAAGGGAAAATTTGTTCTACATCAAATTTCACTATAACTCACCGAACAAGAAAATTCGAAAATTCTTATAGATAACGGTTAAATTTCCCTGTCAAACTTTGGTTTATAAGTGAAACTGCGGTTTTTGAAAGAATTTCACTTGTATTCACAGTCTTTAAGGATTTCGTTGGTAATACTTCATCCTAGGGTTTTGACGTCAAGGGAAATATTATTCCAGACAACATTTTATTATAAGTCTCAGAATAAGAAAATTTGGTAAAAATAGTACATGACGGTGAATTTCTCATTAACATTTGGGTTACTAGGCAAAAATGTAGGTTTTGCAATAATTTCATACACATTCCCAATATTGATCGATTTCAACAACAGGACTTCACTCTAGGCCTTTGGTGTCAAAGGAAAATTTATTCTACACCAAATTTCACTATGTCTGTCCTAAGAAAAATTCGGATATTCCAATAGATAATGGCTAATCTTTCCTATCAAACTTTGGTTTATAAGAAAAACTGCGGTTTTTGCCAGAGTTTCACATGTATTCTGAGTTTTTAAGAGTTTCGTTGATAATACTTCAACCTAGACTCTTAATGTCAAAGAAAATATTATTCTAGACAAAATTTCACTATAAGTCTCAGATCAAGAAAATTTGGGAAAAATAGTAGATACGGGTGAATTTCTCCTTTACATTTGGGTTACTACGCTAAAATGTAGATTTTGCCATAATTTCACACACATTCCCAAAATTGACCGATTTTAACAATGGGAATTCATCCTAGGCCTTTGGTGTCAAGGCAAAATTTTTTCTACACCAAATTTCACTATAGCTCACCAAACTAGAAAATTCCAAATTTCCAATGGATAACGGTTAATTTTCCCCGTCAAACTTGAGTTTGAGGCAAAAGTATAATATTTCATCCAATTTTGTGGTTATGCCCAACTTTGCAGATTTTCTTCAGTAAAGCTTTATCCCAGGCATTGGGTCTTAAAGGGAAAATTGTTCTTCATAAAATTTCACTATAAGTCACCGCAATAAAGGAATCGGTAAAAATTCTTTATCTCTTGGAAAATCCCATCGCAAAATATTGGATCTTCTATTTTTGATACTTTTTTATTTTAGATAATTTTAGTCTTAAATTGAAGGCAAATTGTCCTCAAAAAATACGAGGTAGGTTTATGGTGACAAAGAAAAAGTTTTTCTATATTAAATTTCACTATAGGTCTCCGAAGAAACCAAATCGGCGGATCTACTATTTTGGGAACAATCATGCATACAAACTTGGGTTCGTGAGCAAAATTAAATTTTTGCGCTAGAATTTCGTAATCATACCCAAAAGCGAACGATTTTTTGAGTTATACTTCATCTTAGGCATTGGGTCCCAAAGGGAAAATTGTTCTTCACAAAATTCCACTATAAGTCACTGAAATAATGGAATCGATACAAAAAGTATATATGCGAGAAATTTTATGTCTAATATTAGGTTTGTTATTTTTATTTTTTAACATTTTTGAATATACCAAAACCGAATTGAAGACAAATTGTCCTCAAAAAATACAAGATAGGTTAATGGTGCCAAAGAAAAAGTTTTTCTATATTCAATTTCACTATGGGTCTCCAAAGAAACCAAATCGGTGGATCTGATATTTATACAAAAAAAATCATGCATACAAACTTGGGTTCGTGAGCAAAATTAAATTTTTGCGCCAGAATTTCATAATCATACCCAAAATCGAACAATTTTTTTAGTAATACTTCATCCTAGGCATTGGGTCCTAAAGGGAAAATTGTTCTTCATAAAATTCCACTATAAGTCACTGAAATAATGGAATCGATACAAAAAGTATATATGCGAGAAATTTTATGTCTAATATTAGGTTTGTTATTTTTATTTTTTAACATTTTTGACTATACGAAAACCGAATTGAAGACAAATTGTCCTCAAAAAATACGAGGCAGGTTTATGGTGCCAAAGAAAAAGTTTTTCTATATTCAATTTCACTATGGGTCTTCGAAGAAACCAAATCGGTGGATCCAATATTTTTGGGAAAAAATCATGCATACGAACTTGGTTTCATAAACAAAATTAAATTTTTGCGGTAGAATTTCGTAATCATACCCAACATCTAACGAAGTTTTTAGTAATACTTCATCCTAGGCATTGGGTCCTAAAGGAACAATTATTCTTCACAAAATTCCACTATAAGTTACCGAAGTAACGGAATCG